CTGCAGCCAGGGGCCGCCCGCACCGGGCCGAGGCCGGGCCGGGCCGGCGGCGAGGGCAGCGGGGGCCGCGGGCGGCGGCGGCGGCTCATGCCCGGCCTGTCCCCGCGAGGGGCGGGCACCGTGACTCGGCTGGGCCCCCAGCGGCGGGCGATGTGAAGATGTCAGTGGGCTGTGCCTGTCCTGGTGAGTGGGGCGCGCGGCCGCCTGGCCCCTCCCTGCCTAACCCTCCCCGCAGCCCCCTCACCCTATGTTTGGCAAGAACTTTGGGGGGCGTCGATGGCATGGGGGAGGTAGGGGGCTGTAAGGATCATGCGGGGCCTCAGTCCGGCGGGGAGGGTTTTTCCCAACTCTGTAAATGCGCAGCAACCCAGAAGCACGGGGAAGAGAGGCTATGAGGGTAGCTTATGTGCATGTTTTTTTTTGGGGGGGGGGAGACTAATTGGGGAGGGGCTTGGGGGGGGCTGAAATTCTCAGAATTCCAGGTTGTTAGCCAATCAGAAGTGACTCTGGACTTTTGACCCCCCCCTTAGGTCATCATAGTGTTGTGATTGGCTGGTTTGGGTTGCCCCCCCTTCCCTGCTGCCTATTGCCTGTGTCACCCCCCTCATGCTGTTTCTGAGGACCCTGTTTGCAGGGAGGTATTGGTTGGGGCCCATCTTGTCCCCCTCCAACTTTTCCTGACTGTTGCCAGGGAAGGATAGCCCTCCTGAGGGACAGGAGGTACTCCTAGGGCATGCCAGATAATTGGGCCTTTGGGTCTGGCATCTCTGCCGTAGTGGGAGGGGGAATGTGGCAGCCCCAGGCAGGCTAGGAAATAGAGTGATTTGTGGAGAGGTGAGCTGGAGGGAGCAATTGCTTGATCCCAAAGTGAGAACTTGAGAGAGGACCCAGGCTCTGATCCCTGCCTGCCCCAAACACATACCAGTTCTTGCCAGGGACAGCCCGGGTTTGAGTTTTTTCCTGGAGGAGGAGAAGGTCTACCTCACTGCCAGGAGGAAATAGAGGAGCCATGTGACTGGAGAGAGAGTCTCCAGAGAACCTCAGAACACACTGTCTGTCCCCATCCCCAGGACTCTGGGTCCTGGAGTTGACCCTCCTGCCCCAGGCTCTAGTCAGCTTTCTCCTGGAAGACAGTGTCTCTGAATCAAGCCTGGTTTGGACCCTTCACCCCTCCAAATGTCCCGTTCTCTGGAAGGCCCATACTTCACAACTGGACACCCCACCACCCCCAGTCCCCAGGGGAAGCTGCCAGTGCTGAAGCTTCCTTGAAAATCATGTGACCCAGGCCAAGCTGGGCTGGGCACACACTTCAGGTGCCTACTGAGGCTGATGTTTAAGGGGCATGGGACCCAGAGGAAGGGCTAAGAGAGCCTGAGGATCCTACAATATCTGCTCCTGCTGCAGAGGGTGGGGGAGAGAAGGAGAGAGAAGAGCTTGCCAAGCTGGAATCCTGCCTGGCCCCATCATCTCCCCTCCTACCAGCTTGGTGTGCATGTTTGTGTGTATTTTCTCCTTTATAATTGCCCCATGCTGGGTACCCTGTTCAGATCCTTCCATGCTCTGAGCCCACCCCAGGGCCCTGACCCTCCATCACTATTAATGCGCAGAGCAGAAACTAAGGCTCTGAACAAGCTAAAGGGCTGAATCTTAAATTTTGATTCTTCGTGCCTACAAATAGTGGGTAGAGGATATTATGGAAAGGTTGTCAGGCTGGAGGTGGATGGGAGATTGGCCCTGAAGTTGGGGCAGGGTACCTGGGTCCAGTGGGAGGAGAGAGAAAGTTTCCTCCTCAGTCTCTTTGGGAGCAGCATGGGGACGGGAAGAGGATGCATGCCTAGGGGTGTGTGTGGGGGGCAATGGGGGGACAGACAACTTCAGTCAGTGCCCCAAAAGGCATGTTCCTTTTGTGTGTCTGGTGGCCTGACTGAGGGTGAGGGTGCAAAAGATGGCTTAGAGTGGGGAATCTTTTTCTTGATTGTGAAGAAGCTTTATGGATTGATGTCACAGAGGATGGATGGAGGTTAGACTTAAAGGAGAACCACATGCGGAGAGGCTTTAGAGTAGACTAGAGGCGGGGAATGGTAGGAGTTGGGGTGAAAGAGGGGACTAGGCTTGCATGGGTGGGTGGAAGCACATGCTTGAACACAAGGACATCGTGGGCATGTGGCAGTCCAGGCCCAAAGACCTCCCCCCTACCTTGAGCAGCCCTGGGGTGAGGGCTAAGGTGCCCTGGCAGGCCGCCTGCCGCCTGCCTGCCTGCCTGTCTGAGTCTCTCCTTTGTGCTCTGCTGTCTCCGGGCTCCTCCTCCTCCCCCAGCCCGGCAGAGACAGCACATGCCCCACACATGTGACTGAGGGAAGCCAGAGCACACGCAGACCCACACACATGCACACGCGAAAACACCACAAGATACACACGTACACACGTCCAACTCCCATAGTGCTCCTGGGGTGGGGAACAGCTTCTGGGGCTGAAATGACCAGGAGCAGGGAGAACCTTTGCTAAGGGGCATCATCCTGGGCAAGATGCTGAGGGGGCCAGGGCCTGTCTGGGGCAGCATGTGGTGGCTCAGAAGGGTTAAGGCAAGGAGGAGTAGGGGGAGGGGAGGAGGCAGCAGTGGTGGCGGCTGGGAGCCAGGAGAGGAGGATGGCAGAGCGCCAGGCCAACGGGAGGCCCGGGCACAGACAAAGGAAGGGGGGCAGGCACACTGGAGGCCTGGGTCAGGGAGCCCCAGGGGCCCGGGCAGGGGGCAGTGCTGGTACCTCATCCTGTGGGCTGGGGCTGGTTGCTGTCCTTTGAGGCCCCATCTCCAGGAGGAGTACTCTCCCTCATCATCTTTGTCATTCTTTGCTGCTTCCCCCACTGCCAATTTTAGGGCCTTCTAACTCAGACTTGCTCTCTTTAGCTGGACCTCTTCTGCCCCTGTGCAACTGGGGGAATTGGGTCAGAGAAGAGAGAGGAACAGACTTGCTAGACAAGGAGAACTAGGAGCAGGCCTGTTTTGGATGATATGCCAGAGTCTTGATACATCTTGGCATTGATACAACCCCTTTTCCCCACAGTGGAACAGGAGGGCCCTTGAAGTTCCCCCTTCTGAGGAGACAGGCTGGGTAGGGGTTCTGAGCCAGAGCATTTACCCATCCCCCCTCTCCCCATGTGGGCAGTCATTTGAGGCCTGGAGAGGGAAGGGAGTAGGAATGGCTGCAAGGCCCCAGGGCTGGGCTTTTATCTAGTGGGTTTAGAAGCCCAGGGTTCCAGCCCCAGGCCCTCCTGTCTCAGTGTGATCTATTAGGATCTCACTGTTAGGATATTTGGTTCTGTGTGCAATAAGGATCTCTTGAGGTACTGCCTGCGAATGCACTTTGGAAAGTTTAAAGACAGGAAACAAATGACGGGAGTTGTCCTGTCAGTGAAGGGGGGGTGGAGTGTGGCTATCCCTGGGTTGTAAATTTGGGAGTCAGTGGAAATGTCTTAAGTCATGGTAGTAGGCTGTATGTTGCAAAGTTGGACTAAACGTCATAGATTTTGGTATGTTTGTGAAAGCTGGGGTGTATCATATGGCCATGCTGTGATGAGGAATGGTGTGTAGGTTTTCAGGGAAGGTGGTGGTGGTTTATGGGTTAAGTCTCTGTGTAACAAATGATCAGGGTATATATGTGATACAAATGATATATGTGACAGTCTGCCACATCGTATAACATCGTTTCAGGGTCTGTGTTAGGGTTAGGGTGCATGAGTGTTACAGGTCCCAGTGTGTATGACTCTGTGTGTGTGTGTATGTCCAGGGTTTGGGTATATTTAGGGCTTACGATAGATCACAGGTTGAAGTGTGTATCAGGTACTGATTTATGTGAGAGTGAGATGTGTTATTTATGTGTGGAGGATGTTCACGCAGCCAGGTGCAATATTATTGCACAGTTAACCAGTGTGTATGTCATGAGAAATCCTGTCCTTGGAGTTAGGTGTAAATATAGTTGGGGGTGGCAGTGGCAGCAAGTAGAACAGAAATACTCAATTTGCAAAGAAGGAAGTAGGAGGTCCCAGTGCCCCTTCCTCTGGTTGTGTGTGTGTGTGTGTGTGTGTGTGTGTGTGTGTGAGAGAGAGAGAGAGAGAGAGAGTTTTCCTTTTCCTATCTGTCTAGGAGTAGGGCCTGGGCCACTACCCAAGGTTTAGAAATATCCTCTCCTTTGGGTTGCCCCCACTGGACTGGAAAACAGGCATTACCCACTAACTGCTTTTTTCCCTGGCGTGGTGGGAAGGATTCAGCAGCAGACTAGGCCTCTTCTGGAAACCCTTAGATGGGCAAGTTTGCCTTCCTAGCTCTGACAGGGCCTCTTTCCCTGGCACGTACAGTGTCTTTAATGATGGTGGTGGGGAAGAGGGCTTCCTGTTAAGGAGGATCTAAGTCAGTGCTTGGAACTTAGCTGGGTTGGGGGCAGGGAAGCCTAGAGTGTCCCCCTCCCTCCAATCAGTGTTTACAGGCAGAAGTCACAAATGTGTCTCTGTCAAAAATAACCCCCTGGAGCTTCCCCCCAGCTGCTCTGGATTTCACCAGGGATGCCTGGGGTGGCAGCCCAGGGCAGCCTTCAACCTGAGAGATCACAGGGGAGAGGAAGAGAGATTTGGGGGCGGTTTGGAAGGTGGTTTGAAGATATTGGGAATCTAGAGAGGAGCGCACCCTCCATCCCTGCCTGTGGCTTTGGCTCTCCTTCTCACTCCTGAGCACCACGCCTTGGGTTTGGGAGTGGGCGGGGGCGGCCTGCCTTTCGTTCCTGGCCCCCCCCCCCAGGTCTCCCCTCCATCCAGGTCTCTCCCAGTCTCTGTCTCTCTTTTGTTTTTCTCAGCAGTCCCTCCGTCCCAGCCTGCCTCTCTCCCTCCCTCCCTTTCTCGCTCTTCCTCTTTCCTCGCAGGGAGGGGGCGGGGCCGGTGGGGGCAGCTCCACCCTCCGCCCGCCCTGGGGCCTCATTCGGAGAGAGGCTCCGAGAGGGCGAGCGGGGAGGGAGGGAGGCAGGGAGAGAAAGGGAGGAAAGGCAGGGAGCCGGCGGCGCTGCGTGTGTGTCTGAGTGTGCGAGTGTGAGTGAGTGTGAGTCCGGGCCCTGCCTCTCCTGGTGCCCCCAGCAGAGGGGCCCGGTGGCTTGGGGAGGCGGGCGGGCTGCTCGGAGGCAGAGGCAGCGAGAGGCGGCGGCGGGGAGAGCCGAGGAGGAGGAGGAGGAGAGAGGAAAGAGCGGAGCAGCCATTGTTGAGGGAAACCTTGCAAACAAAGAAGGCTCCGGACTCCCCGCGGCCCCCCGCCACCCAGGCCGGCCCCCTGGCCCCCGGCCGCCGGCCCAGTGGCCATTGTAACTTTCCCCCGGTGCTGTGGCCACCGCGGGGCGGGCCGAGGCGGTGCGTGCGAGTCTTTGTGCGGCCCGCGGAGTGGAGCTCCCAGCCAGGCCTGCCTGTCCCACTCGGGACATGAGCGGCTGAAGTTGGCCCCCCCTCAGCCCTCACCCCTGCCAGGGTCCCTCTGGGCTTCCAGCCGCTCCCCGCACCTCTCCTGGCCCCCTCAGTTCTCCCAGGTAAGTCTGGGCACCCTGCAAGCCTGTCGGGGGTGGGCAGAAGGCTCTCAGTCTGGCCCCGGGCTGTGTGGTCGCTGGGGAGAGGTGCCCCAGCTCAGAGAGGCCGGGACTCATAGGCCTGCTGACCTATGGTCAGCCCCCAAAGGGAGGGGGCCTGCCCTCAGGTCAGCCTGGTTACCATGGAAATGCCCAGCTGGAAGTGCCCCCCTCAGCCCCAGGATGCAGCTTCCATCCTGAGAAAACTTTACTAGTTCTGGGCTCTTCTTCTCTCCCCCTTCCTGAAGGCTCCCAGATTGCTTGAGGTGGGAGGGAGACTATGTCTGACTCCAGGGCTGGATGACACATCCCCTCCACCCCCACCTTGCTCCTTCTACCCCTGCTGCTGGGGACAGGCAGCAACAGGGACAGATGGTCTGGGTGATGTCCCTCCCCTTCTCTTCTCACTCCCAAGCCCTTGTGCTGGGGCTACTGGGAGTTGCTATAGCCCTGGAGAGATGCTGAGTTTGTGTCCATTCACTGGAGGTGTAAACAGAGGCCTCAGAGCTCTGGGCTTTGCTCCTCAGAACTATTACCCAGCCCCAGACAACACCTGCCATTCTTTAGAGACAGAAAAGGAGGCTCTGAGGGTTTTTGCAGAATTGGGTAGGAACCCATGCATCCTGCATCCCTTCTCTTCAGGTTCTTGAGCTGACACATTTCTTCTTCAAGTGGCCCTGAAACTAAGGGGGCAGGAGTAGTTTTGCTTTTGGGGAAAGGACTGTCTAGTTAGGCAAGGAGGGCCAGGTCTGAGAATCTGGACTCTGGGATTCATTGCCCAAGCCTGGCCTCTGGTGGGCTGTGTGAGCTTGAGCTTTCTGTGTGGCTTTAGTCTCACTGTCTGTGGAGGAGAGAGACTTGGGAGCTGGGTGGGGACTGTCTCTTTCCTGAGACACAAGCTCAGTCCAGACTGGCATGGGAAGGCAGTGTGTGCTGTTCTTGGAGCATGTGGACGTGGAGTGAAGGCCTGTTGCTGGCACCTTGATCCTGCCTGGGGCTGCTGGGTTCCAGCCCTTGATAGGCATGTTGGGGCGAGCTGAGGGTGGAAGGCTGCTAGGCAGGATGGGGCACACGTGTATGCAGGCACACACTGGCTCTGGCTCTTGGCACCTTCCAGGACTGTGCAGTCTGGGCCCCTCTGGGACTCTCCTTTTGCCTACATTGTGAGGAGGGGGCCCTGGGGAGAGAATTAAATGACACATGTTGGCACAGGGTCTTCTTTTGTCTCTTTCCCCCAAGGAACAAAATAGATTTTGTATCTAAATTGGGGAGGGGGCTCAGATGTAGCCAATATAGTTACCCTTCCGAATGTAATCAAGTTTTGGGGACCTAAGGAAGTGAATATGGTTGGGATCCGAATCTTTGTGGCTGTGCCTCAGTTTCCCCTCCTATCTTGTGGGGAAGGGAAACATAGAGTTGCAGGGATACCTGGCTCATACCCAGCTATGAATCTAGCACTTCTTCCAGTCAGGAAATGGTATGACAGGAACTGTATTGGAAGAGGGGACACATACACACGCAGATACACACAACAGAGACCCCTATCTAGTTACCACTTGCCTCCTAGACCGAGCCCCCTAGAACATAGCCTCCTTGCCAGACCCTCTATTTTCTGTTTGTAAGGAAGTAGAGTAGGATCCAACGGAGGCTCATCTACTTCCCTCCCCCACTGCAAGTCTCTGAAGAGAAAAGGGGTTGAGGCTTTGGGTTTCTGGTTTGGAGACAATACTCTACCCATGGTGGGTGTGGGGGCTGGGCTGATAAGGGAGTGGCCGTTGGTGGGGAGGCAGAAGGCCCAACTGGTTATCTGGTGGGTTGCACCCAACAGGCACCCACCCCCTTTTATCTTTCTATCCCCTGCTCTCCTGAGACCCTGGGGGTGGAGGAGGGAGCAGAGAGTTCACAAAATCCCCCTTTCTCCTCCCCACCTTGGTCTCTAGAGGGCAATAGAGGGGTCAGATGGTAGAAATAGTGTAGGATGTGGGAATTAGAAGATCTGAGCTCAAGTGCTGGCTCTGCCAGTTACTAGCTTTATGATCTTGGCAAGTTCCTTTGAGCCCTCGGTTGCCTCATCTGTGAAATGGGAGTGTTATGTATGGTCAACGCTGTTACCTCACAAGGTTGTTATGATGATGGAATGAAACTATGTAGATAAAAAGGGGGTTTATAAAAATTAGATTCTAATTTTGGATATTTATCTGTGATACTGACAATTCTTCCCAGATTCAGTCCCTCTTCTGTCATCCAGGGCTCAGCCAAGTTAAGAAGTGGGGACTTGGGTATGGGCTGAGTACTCCTAGTTTCTTAATAAAATGAGATTGGAGCCAAATTTAGAAGGAGAGATAGGTGCTCCCGAGCCCCTCCGTAGTCCACTGCTCTCTTGTTGCAGTCAGGCCAGGGGGCTCCATAAGACCAGTCCCTATCCTCACAGTCTAGCAGGCTTCCAGGAGAGCTCCCAACAGGGGTTCAGGGAGATCCTTTCTCTTCTAGGTTGTTCCTCAAAGTCATTCAAGCTGTACTCGCCGAAGGAGCCCCCGAACGGCAACGCCTTCCCCCCCTTCCATCCCGGCACCATGCTGGATCGGGATGTGGGGTGAGTCTCTTGCCCACATCCTAACCCTTCTCCAGGTGGGATCCTGCCTGGAAAGGGGAGGGAGTGACCCTTCCCCAAATAATTCCTGTCTTCCACCCCCATTCTCATGACCTCTTCCCTTACACAGCCCAACTCCCATGTACCCGCCTACATACCTGGAGCCTGGGATTGGGTAAGTGGAGTCCAGTGGGGAGGAAAGTGCTTTCTGTTGGGTGAAGGCAGAGGTCAGGGGAGCGGGGAGACTCTGCTGCTAGTGACCTCCTTCCTTCACTTCCCCCAGGAGGCACACACCATATGGCAACCAAACTGACTACAGAATATTTGAGCTTAACAAACGGCTCCAGAACTGGACAGAGGTATGGCCAAGGGAAAAGGGACTGAGAGCTAAAGGGCCATCTGGGCACCCCTTTGGGATATCTTGTGATACATAAACACAGACCTCCCTGTGTTCTCTAGGAGTGTGACAATCTCTGGTGGGATGCTTTCACGACTGAGTTCTTTGAGGATGATGCCATGTTGACCATCACTTTCTGCCTGGAGGATGGACCAAAGAGATATAGTAAGTGGCTTCTGGGGGTCCTGTTGTGAGAGTATATACCTTCTGTATAGTTTTAAGGTCTGGAAGTGCCAAGGGATCTCTCTTGGCAGGGGAGGTATCTGCGTGGCCTCTTTTGTGGTCCCTCTGTCCTGAAGAGTTTGTCCCATCTCTGCAGCCATTGGCCGGACCCTGATCCCACGCTACTTCCGCAGCATCTTTGAGGGGGGTGCTACAGAGCTGTACTATGTGCTTAAGCACCCCAAGGAGGCATTCCACAGCAACTTTGTGTCCCTCGACTGTGACCAGGGCAGCATGGTGACCCAGCATGGCAAGCCCATGTTCACCCAGGTCAGCAACCCAGCTGGATATGGAATACTGAAGCACCGGTGTTTGATTCCCTTCCTCTGTCCCAACATGTACTCACAGCTATTCCCCAGGAAGGCACAGTGGGAAGTGACAAAGTAATAAGAGAGGGCCCACATGCTACAACATGCAGCAAACATTTATTGATTTTGTACGTGACAGTTTTCTGGGCCCCAGGGGTACACAAGTGAATAAGAGCCTGTCCTCATAGAGCTTATAGCAGATGGGTGTATCACTAGCTACATGGGGAGAGGACGAAGGTCTGTTCAGCTTTTCTATGTGTGTGTGTTTTTGTTTTTGTTTTTTTTGACACAGGGTCTCACTCTTTTGCCCAGGCTAGAGTGAGTGCCATGGTGTCAGCCTAGCTCACAGCAACCTCATACTCCTGGGCTCAAGCAATCCTTCTGCCTCAGCCTCCCGAGTAGCTGGGACTACAGGCATGCGCCACCATGCCTGGCTAGTTTTTTCTACATATTTTTAGTTGTCCGATTAATTTCTTTCTATTTTTAGTAGAGACGGGGTCTCGTTCTTGCTCAGGCTGGTCTCCTGAGCTCAAACAATCCGCCCGCCTCGGCCTCCCAGAGTGCTAGGATTACAGGCGTGAGCCACCGCGCCCGGCCTATGTGTGTGTTTTAAAGGCCAGGGATGTGACAGGTATATGAGGTCAGGGAGTGCTGTGACAGTTGTGTGCAGGTGGCAAAAGTGTATGCAGTGGGAGAGTTGTGAGCAAAAGGGAGGACTGTAACAGGCACACTTTGAGGTATGGCATATGGGGAGGGGGCAGGGTTGTGACAAGCCTGTCCCCAGGTGTGTGTGGAGGGCCGCTTGTACCTGGAGTTCATGTTTGACGACATGATGCGGATAAAGACATGGCACTTCAGCATCCGGCAGCACCGAGAGCTCATCCCTCGCAGCATCCTTGCCATGCATGTGAGTTGTGGGCAGGACCCAGGTGGCGAGGGTGAAGGCAGGCAGTGGGAAGGGTGGAATGAGATCTGCCATTTCCTGACTGTGACCTTAAACAGAAGGTTAGGGTTTCTTCAGCTGAAAAATGGGTTTCATACTAGCCCCTCTTCTCTGTCAGGAGTGTCATAATGCTCAGATGGTAGGGCAGGTGAGGAGAGGCAACCCAGGTGTCAGTGTTCTTATCTTTTCTCCCTCTCTAGGCCCAGGACCCCCAGATGTTGGATCAGCTCTCTAAAAACATCACCCGGTGTGGGCTGTCCAATTCCACTCTCAACTACCTCCGAGTGAGTCTCCGATTACCCATTTTCTGCCCCATCCCATGTGGTCTTGGCTCTGTGTCTCTTCCTTAACAAGCCACCCCTGGTCTACCCTCAGCTCTGTGTGATACTTGAGCCCATGCAGGAGCTCATGTCCCGCCACAAGACCTACAGCCTCAGCCCCCGTGACTGCCTCAAGACCTGCCTTTTCCAGAAGTGGCAGCGCATGGTAGCACCCCCCGGTGAGTGCCTTGTACTTCCTCTTACCAGGATCTGACACCACTCCCCAAGGCTGTATCTTTGTCTCCTTATGCAGTTCCCCTTGCCCCTTCCTCGTTCCTGGGTCTGCAAGATTGGGATCAGGGTAGGCTCATGCTTCTTAGGAGCCAGAATGGAGAACAGGGGGCCTAGGGCCCTCTCCCACCTGAGTCTCCTTTCCCTGGCACAGCGGAGCCCGCACGGCAGCAGCCTAGCAAACGGCGGAAACGGAAGATGTCAGGGGGCAGCACCATGAGCTCGGGGGGCGGCAATACCAACAATAGCAACAGCAAGAAGAAGAGCCCAGCCAGCACCTTCGCCCTCTCCAGCCAGGTACCTGTAAGCATCTCGGCTTTCTTCTCTCTTCTGGGCTGCCCCACCGCTCACCCTTGACCCTTGTCCAAGCCTGAGCTCACTAGCAGGCATAGAGGCAAAGACAGTTTTCCCATGTACTCTCCCAGCGTGGGCTGACTCCTTCCACTGATGAGAGAGTCCTTGAAAGGCACATGTTGGTGTGATCACACAGACTCAGCACAGGAAGTTAGGGCATGAGACGGAGACAGCCAAGAGAACATACGGACGTTCAGGACAGTTTGGGGTACACAGACCATCAGAGAGACACACACTCTGATAGAGGGACACACAGACTTGAATGTTTGTGGATCTAGAATACGTACACATGCACGTGTACACACTTCCCTCCCTTGTGTTTTTGATCTGCTCCCTGTCTTACATGTGGACAGAAGTTTAGGAGCACCCTAAAATTTTGGGGAGATGGACTAGGGGAGTAGACTGACTTCTCCTCCCAGAATTTAATGCATAGGGGCTAAGGGCTGTGATGCTCTGGTGTCCTTCAGTGGGAAGGATTCCAGGAGCTGAGGGTGTCAGAGGAGTCGGGTTTTAAATTTGGGTCTGAGGAGGGGGTTGGGGCTGTTGAGCTTCCAGGGTGGGTATTGGGGCTCTGGGGGTATCTGCTGCCCTGGGCCGGGCGAGCCCCTGCCCCGATTATGTTTGGGGACCTCCGCCACTCTCAGGATGTGATGGTGGTGGGGGAGCCCACCCTGATGGGCGGGGAGTTCGGGGACGAGGACGAGAGGCTCATCACCCGGCTGGAGAACACCCAGTTTGACGCGGCCAACGGCATTGACGACGAGGACAGCTTTAACAACTCCCCTGCACTGGGCGCCAACAGCCCCTGGAACAGCAAGCCTCCATCCAGCCAAGAAAGCAAATCGGAGAACCCCACGTCACAGGCCTCCCAGTAAAGGCCCTGCCATGGCCACCCAGCACTCTGCCTGCCCCACCCCTTGCAGCTCCAGGGAGCAGAAGATAGAATGCAGAGACTGAGCATCTAAAATGGGCAGCCTCCATCCACCCACTTCAGGGAGGAACTGGACTCGCTGGGGGCAGGTGCCAAGATTTGCCTCTCAGTGGCCCTGGGCTGGGCCTGGCCCTGGCCCCTGCAGAGCCTTTTGGGGGAAGGGGGTACTCGTGTGGATGCCTACATCCATGACCCTGGGTCTTTGAGAAATGTCCTGACCATCCTCCAGGGCATTTGCCTCCACCCTCACCCCAGATTCTGGGTTCCCCATCCTCCTGACTTTACCCCTTTCAGCTCGGGGTTGTCTGTACCCACAGCCCTTAGGGACTTAAAGTTATGGGGCTTGGTCAAACGCCTCTCTCCTTAGGCGACTGATAGTAGAGGGGTAAAGTTCTGGGCTCCTTCTCCCTTCTGCTACTTATCCCGGCTCCAAGTTTTTTAAAAAATAATATTATTAAAAATGTAAGTTTAAAAAAAAAATCACTCATGTCCCCCTCTTCCCTCTATTGAAAGTCCACCTACCTCCCTACTCCTGGCAGATGGAGGGGCCCTGGGCCCAGGTGGGAGTGAGAGTGGGGGCAAGGGGATATGCATACCATTTTATACCGTTTGAGAGCTTCAGACCAAGGAGACACTTTGCTATCTCTCTTCCCCTTTCCTCTGGGATGACTAGAGTTGGGAAAGGCATGCCGTGGGGTAGGGGGAGTAATCATGGCCACATCTTTGTGACAGCCCCCTACTGTTGTCTCTGTCTGCCCATCCTCTGGACTCCCGGCCTGCCCTCCTAGTGCTTGTGACTCCCTCTGTCCCAGCCCTGCCCCCTCCCCGTGGTGTGTATATCCTTTACAAGTCCTCCACTAGAGCAGCTGTCTTGGATTGGGGGGGGGCAAGGCTTCCTCCTGTAGGGAGTGTGGAGGGAAGGGAGCAGCCTTGTTTGTCGCTATATTTTTTTGTTTTGTCTCAGTTGGGCAGGCATGGGATGGGAGAGGGCCACTCTCCTCCAGAACACTCTTCCCCCAACCCCTCAAGCTTCATATTTAGTCCTACCCTGCCCTCCAGAGAGGGGAAGGAGCCACTGAGGATGTCTCAGCTCTCAGGCCACCAGGGAGAAATAGGCCTCTGTTCCCCCAGCTGAGGTAGAGGGTCTTCATCTCCCAATATCCCCTCCCTCTCCTTCCTTGTAGAAGGGAGGAGGAGGAGGCAGCCAGGATCCTCAGCTTTACTTCACAGTTGGACATGTGGAGGCTTAGGGCCAGGGTGCGGCCAGGAGCCGGGTCCCATGAGGCTAGGCCCAGCTCTGTGGCTTTGCTGCCTTTTCCTGTGGCCAGTCCCAGGAACTGTTAGTACCACCTCTCTCCCCACTCTTCCCCTTGGATTCTGGGGTCCCCCACGCCCTGTTTCCTCCACTCCAGCTGCTGCCACACTTTTGGAAGGGTATTGTGTCAGGAGCTGAGGGGAAGGGGTGAGGAGGGTGGATGACCCACCCCAACCAACTGTAATGCCTTTTTTTTTTTTTTTTTTTTTTTTTTGGCCATTTGAGTCATGTATGGTACTGATGAATAAAGAGACTTTTTGGTTTGAGAGTGTCCTGGTTGGTCATTGATGCCTAATAATGACTCAGTCCAAGACAATCTTTTCCCTATCCTTGCAGTTCCTAAGACAAGTCATTGGGGAGAGGGTATGAGTTGGACCCCTTTACTCTCACATTTCCTCTCTTTAGGGTTTTTTCCCTGAGTCATACCTTCCCCCCGAGACCCTAAAATTTGTCCCTAGATGTCCCAGCCTGGCCCCATCTCCCTCAAAAGTTGAGGGAGACTTGGCTTTCCCAGTCTCCCTGCTTCCCCACCGCAGGACTGGGACTGTTGCTTCTCACCCTTGGCTGTCTGGGGCTGCCAGACAGGTGGCTTTCTTGAGGTTGCTGGGATAAACGACCCTGGAATTAAGCCTTTAAGGGAGGGGTGGGGGAGGGGGTCCTTGGCTAGGATGGGGCTTGGGTTAGAGGATCTTAGAGAGTGTCTGGGAGACTCCTCATTTTTTCATCAGTGAGATTCCTACCCCTACCAGGCCCCCAGCCTACCAGCCCAGCTGAGATCCAGTCTCCCCTGGTACTAAGGTCCCTGGGTGGAGGATTAAGAGAGTAGCAGGATTGTTTGTTTCCTTGCTGACTTTGGGTAGGGGCACTGAGGGAGGAGGGTACCTAAGCTCTGTTGCTAGGGGCCAGCCTGAAGCTTCAAGAGTAGATGGAAGGAGAAATAGGGCACTTAGCAGACTCCTTTCCCGGTGGTTACTCTCCATGTCCCTTCCTCCCTACCATTAAATATTGGCAAGATAGGGAGACCCTGCTGTGGGTTGGAGATGGGGTCTTAACTCTCATAAAGCTCCCTACTCAGCGTCCCTCATTTTCATCCCAGGCAGGGAAAGCTGAGGCCTCAAACCATTCCCCCACTAAGGCCTCTGGATCTGAAGTAAAGCCCAATAGACCTGCACCTCCACTCTCACCTCCCAGCATGCAGGAAGACACCAGAGGAAAGGACTGCATGGCCCACCCCACCCCTCTCCAGCCTACATAGTTACCTTGGCCGCCTCAGGACCCCAGGACTGCACTTGCATCCCTCCCTCAACTCTTCCTCTGTAGGGCTGGCCTGACTGAAGGACATTTGCTGGCGGGCTGTCACCATCAACTTACCCTTACAGTGAGCTGCAGTGGGTGTGCGTCTGGCGCCGGGTGTACATCTGGCCTTTTAGTCTGAGTGTGTGTCAGTGTGTGTATGTATGTGACTGCTAAGCTGGGAGGGGGCCTGGATCTGTGTGTGTGTGTATGTGTGTGTGTATGTAAGGGAGTATATATGTGTGTGAGTGTGCATGTGGGCATCTACATGCATGTGCCTGTGTATTACTGTGTGTCTGTTGGTGAATTCATTCATTCATCCAGCTAGTATTCATTGAGCCCTCTGCAGGTGCCAGGCCCATTCTAGGTGCTGGGGATATGGTGTCGAACAAGGCAGAGAAGGCGGGACTGCTGGGTGAGTGGAGGCTGTGAGTGCACAGATGAGGATGTGTTGTTACATGTGCGGTTTGGCAGCGTGACTGTGTTGGGTTATGGGGTTGCTAGGCCAGTGATTGTGTGACTGGGTTGAGCATTTGCAAGTTCACCTCTTTTTGTGTATGATTATGGCAGGGGAAGGGGACAATTGTTGAGGGAAGAGGTAGATTGCCAGGCCTGGACCCTGCCCTCTGGAGCCCTAGACTTGGCTCCTTCCCACTTGCCCCCAGCATCCCCTCTGGGGAAGGCCCCTGGTGAAGAGGAATTGCTGGGGTAGGGGAAAGGAGAGGCCCTCCAACGCCCTCATGCCCTTTGTTTTGAGTACAGATATGGGTCCTGTCTCAGGCCCTAGCATATTGCTGAAGAGCTCATCTCAGCCTGACCATGTACCCCAGCCAGGGCTTCTGAACCCAACACCAAACCTTGTCCCTTCTCCCAGACCCCCAGCTCAGCCTGACCCCAGTTCCTTCCCCATATTTCCTGACCCAGTCTGATCTAGCCCAAGTTCCAGCCCCTCTCCTAGGACCCTACTCTAGTCCAGCACAACCTCCAGCCCCTCTTTTATACCCAGTCCAGCCCAGTCCAGCCTGACTTCTTTTTTTTTTTTTTTTGAGACAGAGTCTCACTGTGTTGCCCCGGCTAGAGTGCCGTGGCGTCAGCCTAGCTCACAGCAACCTCAAACTCCTGGGCTCAAGCGATCCTCCTGCCTCAGCCTCCCGAGTAGCTGGGACTACAGGCATGCGCCACCATGCCCGGCTAATTTTTTTTATATACTTTTAGTTGTCTGATTAATTTCTTTCTAATTTTAGTAGAGACGGGTCTCGCTCTTGCTCAGGCTGGTTTTGAACTCCTGAGCTCAAACAATCCGCCCGCCTCAGCCTCCCAGAGAGCTGGAATTACAGCCACCGCGCCCGGCCCAGTGCAGCCTGACTTCTAACCCCTTCTCCAAAGTAGCACTGCAGCCCCCCAGCCCAGCCCAGTTCAGTCTGACTTCAAGCCCCTTTCCATAAGGTGAGAAACTCTAAGTTGCCTTCCCAGGGCCTCCCCCAATCCCTTTTTCATAAAGTAGGGCCTTCGTTGGGGATTGGTAGAAGTAGAGGAGAGGGTAAGGGATTAGAAACTATAGCCTGGATGAAGAAGGGCAGAGAAGGCAGGGAGATGAGGGGCAGGAGGCACTGAGGAAGGCCCAGCTGTGTTCTGGCCAGGTTGAATGGAAGGGAATGCATAAAAAGAAGTTTTGAGTCAGCGGCCCCCTAGTTGCAGGCTGGATTTCAAAGATGCTGGTTTTATCCTTGCTGGCTCCAGCTCCCAATACCCAGAGTGTTTATAATGACTATAACTGTCATCCGTGTGGCACCGTCCCATTCTCTCAGGAGCCCCCTCTGGCCCCCACCCACAGAGGCCATAGATGAAACGACTGGGTGACTACATACCCTGCAGCTCTTACCCTGGGAGAGGAGAAGCTGAATGGGAAGGGGTTATTTTCCCACCAATTCTAGATCCCATTTCCTGAGGTAGCTAAACCCTGGATTACTTCTCTCCCTGCTGCCCCACCTCTAAGCCACCAGCTCACTTCTCCAGCAAGAGAACCTAGGGACAGTCCCTGGAGAAAAGTCCCAGAGAGGCTTGGGGGAAAAGGATCTTTTCCCCATCACTGCCAATAAGTAAGGCTGCCTGGAGGAGGTAGGCATAATTTCTCTCCCTTGCCTTTAATGGACCTCAGGTGCCCAGAACCAGATTAGTAATAACATTGGTTCGTGAAACACTCTCAGCATTGCTCCATGCACAGCGCACATTTATTTACTTATGATTCTGTCATAAGAACTCATCAACATGAAAGCTAGGACCTTGACAATAACTTAAGTCTAGCTACATGGTCCATCCATGCCGCTCCCAAGATATCCATCATTCTCTCGTTTTCCTTTTATTTACTTAACTATTTGTATTCCTAAAAATGTATTGTACTGTTAAAACTTTAGTTATTTTTTACCTTATTATAAGGGAGTACTGCTGTATATAATTTTTGGTGGCTTATTTTTACTTAATATTACTTAAGTATTACTAAGATTCATATTGTTGCTATATATGGCTTGCAGCTCATTTTGAGGATTGTATTAATATAATGTTCCATTTGGTGACTCTACCACAGTAATTCATTTTCCTGTCACTGGACATTGGGTTGTTTCTAGGTTTTGGCTATTGTGAAGAGCACTTCTATGAACAATTTTATTCCTGTCTTCTACTGTAGTTATGCAGAGTTTTTTTGGTTATATGTTTAGGTGTGATCTCTGTGAACTCATGTTCCCACCACTGAAGCCCAAGTCTGAGTGCTTTTACTGTGGCAGATCTAGGGTTAATTCAAAATTAAAACATTTATTGAGTCCCTGCTATATGAACTGTACTTGGTCCATTCATTTATTCAGCCA